GCAAGCTGTCATTAGAAACAGCAACATTGGGGGGTGAAAAGTGAACAAAATTAGAAACATTAGAGGTAGAGTTTAAAATAGAGGACTTACCTGGGCCATGAAGCTTTGGGCCGAGAAAGGAGGAAACCATAGGAGGGGAGTCTTTAATCAAGGAGCTGGACTGGATAGAGCTTGAGGGCCGAGGTCCAAGGATAGAAAAACTTGGGCTAGTCACTTTCTCCACTTCAGCGTGAGGTAAAAGCCCAAGGGGAACTTCACAAACATCCATATTAACATCTTGGTCTAAAACAGGGCCTTGGGCCTTTGTGAGTAAAACAGCCTTGCAAGCCATCTCATCACATTGGGCTTGGGAAGCCAAACGACTTGGGCCGGCATAAGAGACAGGGCCATACGGCCTTGGGCCAAGTATGGAGGAAGGATCCTGAAATGTTGAACCTGGAGGATGATGGCCTAAAGGAGGATTATCAAGGCTAGCATTAGTTGGGCCGCTCAAAGAAGAAATAAAAGCGTCCTTAGGCATCTGAGAGGTAGGCCGGCCCAGCATCATCATCTCCTCACATCTATGGCTAACAGCCACATTGTTGACGGGTCCACCAGAATTATCATGGGCACAATCCTCCATAATACTAACAGCCGGTTCCAAGCCAACTAAACTAGAATTTGAGTAAATACGTGGGACCCCTTCCCCATGCACTCCATGGTTAAAACCCAATTGACCTATATCTACCCCACAGAGAGAGGTACTATTATCCACATTAAATATAGTATTAATAGATCTTTTACCCACAAGATCATGCCTAGCTTCCACACTAGAGTGGCTCACCATACCCAAGGCATTAACTCCCACCTGCACATTTTGTCCTTTTTCATGCTGAACCGCATCCCGAACGGTCCCATTTTCAAAATTTTTCTTTTCTTTTTCAGACTTGCGTAAGGACCCATCACCTAACCCATCAACTTTTTTCGGTTGAATATTAAAAAAGGACATAAGCTCATCCCGATTTTCAGAGCAGTTTAGAGTTCCAAAAACAAAGTCAGAAGAGGGCGGCCGTTGACATTTCGAGGAGTCGACCGTTGGATCATCCTTCTCGTTACCGAACTTCAAGTTTTTTCCAGGAAGGGAAGCATCATGCAAGAAGGCCACCGAGCTGTCCAAAATAGCGACGGGACGACTGAAACAAGCCGGAGGTGAACCAAGCGGACGGTCAGCTGCAATTCCCGACGAGTGGGCAGCCATGTTTTCCGGTAGGACCTCCGGCAGACCCTCCCATCCCTGCAACTTTTTTGAGGACCCAGAAACGCAAGAACCTTGGGAAGGGACAGCTTGGTTTTTACAAAACGAAGCAATGAGGTCTTCACTAACGGGATTTGAAAGACGGTAATCCTTCAAGATATCTTCGCTAATAGCATGAACAATCTCAGGCTCAGCATTTTCCAGCCTAGAAAACTTTCGTATGGAAGGAAGAGCAATGCAACCACTCTCATCCTCTTCCACAACATCTCCACTCCTTCCAATCTTAAACTCCAAAGCATCCGGGGCCAAGGGTGGGGAAGGGATGTCATTGAGATTAGCATAATCTAACACATTAGGGGGAGACCCAGCAGATCTAGCAACTGAACGATGCAAACTCATCTTCTCCAATCTTCTAAACTTGCAATTTTCATCAAAGTTTTCAACAAAACCTTGAGTAGAGATTGGAAGGGGATTAGAGAACTTCACACGATGAATCGGCATGCGAGATTTACGTGTTTTCCTATGCATAGATTCAACTACAAGATGATTGTTACCCGACATGGAAACAAAAAGAAGGAAAAACACCAAAAACACCAAGAAAGCTAGAGAGAAAACTTTTAGAGAGAGAATGTAGAGAGAGAAAAAATTCAAGCAAATGAATTTCCTTGGGGTTTAGGGTTTCGGGTTTAGGGTTTAGGGTTTAGGGTTTCGGGTTTAGGGTTTAGGGTTTAGGGTTTAGGGTTTAGGGTTTAGGGTTTAGGGTTTAGGGTTTAGGGTTTAGGGTTTAGGGTTTAGGGTTNTTTAGGGTTTTAGGTTTTAGGGTTTAGGGTTTAGGGTTTAGGGTTTAGGGTTTAGGGTTTTTTTTATAGAGAGGGGGGAGACCCCTCCAGATCAAGAAAAAAACAGCTAAAAGCCAAACAATGAAGCGCGCGGGTAGGAGGTAAACCTCAACTACCGGCCAAGAGAAACCAAGGCACCCCGAGGGGAAAGAGAAGAAAGGAGGACAAGAAAAAGAGAGGGGAGAGAAGGAGAGAAAAGAAAAACAGAGAAAGGGGAAGAGACGAAAAGAGAGAAGAAGAGGGGGGAAGAGAAAGAAAGAGAAACCGACCACAAGGGAAGGGCCCAGCCAAGGSAAGACCGGGAAACAACGGGGAACACGACAAGAGCAAGAGAAGGGGCCTAAAAAAGGCACACCCTAGACCGCACCAAGGAAACCGAGAGAGCAACGGAGCTCACGAGACCAGAAAAACAACAGCACACAAAAACATAGAGCTAAGGGAGATTCCAGGCAAGCCGGGCCCGGGCAACATTAGGAGTGGGCTTGAGGGTCAGGCTAAGGAGCCTGGACCGGACATCGTCGGTTATAGTCTTAACCACCATAATATACGATCTTCTTTTATTTTTGAAGATGCGATTATTCCTTTCCTGCCACAGGTGTTAGACAGTTCCAGCTAGCACTAATCTGCGAATAATAGACCAGACGGTCTTTCCTTTGGTAGCATGCTGGAAAACACCAATAATATCAGCCCAAATATCCGGGACACCAGAAAGGTTAAGCTTGGCTTTTAAGCCATTCCAAACCTGATAAGGAAACTGGCATTCAAAGAAAAGATGAGAATGCGAATCARGCCCGTTTTGACAGAAAGCACAAGACAGGTTGGAGTGGCCCTCCCAGAACCGAAGCTTGTCATGCGTCTTGAGACGCTGCTTGAGGGAAACACACAGAATAAACGCATGTCTGGGAATATTCTGGGAAAACCAGACCAAGTGATGCCAGGAGACATCCGGCTCATTAGGACAGAGGGAGAGCCAGACCTCGTGAATAGAGAACGACGTGAGCCGACCATCCCTGGTTCTCCAGAGGAGTTTATCAGGGGTAATAGAGGAAAAGACAGGAAGAGGAGAATCGCGGATTAAAGGGTTGGGACTTTCCCTCAGGAGAGGGAAGTTCCAAAAACCCTGGGAGATGATATCCTTCACAGGAGCAGAAAGARGGAGATTAGAATTAATGATACTGCGGGAAGATAAATGCCGGTAGAGGGGACCCACCGGGTGCCAGTTGTCGTACCAGGCGGACGTGGAAGCGCCATTACCAATCTGGGAG